TGTGTGTGTGTGTGTGTGTGTGTGTGTGTGTGTGTGTGTGTGTGTGTGTTTTGAGGGGTATTATGGAATTTGCCAGAAAATGGATGCAACTACAGATCATTATATTAAGTGAAATAAGGCAGATGCAAAAAAAAAAATATGTGTTTAATCTCATTTGGGACTCTAGATCTTACTATACATAAAATCATTTTTATATATGACATCAAAGTAGAAAAAGCAAGACTGTTGGGGGGAAGGATGGGAAGAAGCAAAGGGAGGGTCTGAATGGAAAGTATGGTCAAAGTACAGGATATTCATACTTCTATGAAAAATGTCTTGCCAGGCGGTGGTGGCACACGTCTTTAATCCCAGCACTTGGGAGGCAGAGGCAGGCAGATCTCTTGAGTTCAAGGCCAGCTTGGTCTACACAGTGAGTTCCAGGACAGCCAGGGCTACACAGAGAAACTGTCTCGAAAAACAGAAGGGTCTTTATGAAACTTATCACTATGTACAATTGACATATACCAATAAAGAATGAAAGCCATTGGATTGGTGGGTGGCTAAAACGATAGATATTGAGAAGCTAAATACAGTACCATTTAACCCCTGTCAACTAATTGGTGGGTTTACTAGTGTTGGCTGTGGTTCTCTGAACTTTTCTGTATTTTGGAAAATGTTCATAATAAAAGGTGGCAGCAGGGACTAGGAAAACAGCTCAGTGGGTAAAATGCTTGCTATGCAAGCATCGAGACCCGAGTTCAGATCCCAGGACCCACACAAAAGCTAGAGATTGTGCTAAGTATCTGTAACCCCAGCATAGAGGGGTTTATTCTGACTATATTCATATAAAGATTTCTTTTTTATAGTTTTCAACTTGTCGTTTCTTGACAGTGAACACATTTTGCTTTTGGTTTTTAAGAATTATGGTGGAATTTGTGGCCAATACATAAAGTATATAAGGATGAGGTTCTTATTTGTTAGTCCCATTTGGGCGACTAAGGCAGGAGGACCATTTGAACTCAGGAGTTCCAAGGACGGCTTCGGGGGGGGGGGGGGGAGTACCAAACCAAACCAAAAAGGATCTATCTGGTAAAGAGTCAATAACTGTCTTCTGTATATGGAAGGGGAGAGATTCTGGGGATGGAACCCAGGTCCTTATGCATGCTAATAAGTTCTTTGTTCCTATCCCTAGTTATGGGCTCTTAAATCAGTGGTTCTAAGTCATGGTACACACATCAAATCACCTTTGTTCAGAATACACGCAGATCAATTAAATCGGAATCTTTGGGGATGGAACCCAGGCATCAGTATTTTTTTTAAAGCTCTCAGCTGATTCCAAGATGAGAACCAGCTAAGCTATGTCTTAAGAATATGGGTGCTTATTGTACTATTCTTTGTATATTTGAAATCCCCAGCCTCATTTTTTTCCAGACAAAGTCTCACATTGTATCCCAGTCTTGCCTTGAACTTCTGGCAATCTCCCTGCCTCAGCCTCTCAAGTGGTGGGATTATAGGCAAAAGCCACCACACCGGGCTGAAATTTTTCACTAAAAAAAATTCTAAGTGGCTGGAGAGATGGCTCAGCAGTTAAGAGCACTGGCTGTTCTTCTAGAGGACCCAATTCCCTGCACCTACTTCACAACCATATGTAACTCCAGTTCCAGGGTATCTGATACCATCTTCTGGACTCCTCAGGTACCAGGCATGCACATATTGCCAGACATACATACAGGCAAAACACCCATAAACATTTAAAATTGTTAATAAATACAACAATCAACTAACTTAAATAATTAATGGAACCAGGTGTGGTAGTGCACACTTTTAATCTCAGCACTCAGGGGGCAGAGGCATGTGGATCTCTGTGAGTTTGAGGCCAGCCTGTTCTACATAAGCAAGCCTGCCAGCCTACACATAGTAAAACCCTATCTCAAGAAAAAAAATTAGTTGGCTGGAGATGGCTCAGTGTGTACTGCTCTTGCAGAGAACCCAAGTTCAGGTCTTAGCACCCATGTCCTGAGTTTACACCTGTCAGTTCCAGTGGACCTGATGCTTCTTAAAGACTCCAGAGTCACCTGCATTCACCATCGCACCCCCCTGCACAGACACACAGACACACAGACACACACACACACACACACACACACACACACACACACACACACACACACACACACACACACACACACACACACACACCATTTTAAAATAATTAAAATAAACCCTTCAAAAGTTTTAAGAGCCGGGTAGTGGCAGCGCACGCCTTTAATCCCAGCACTTAGGAGGAAGAGGCAGGTGAATCTCTGTGAGTTTGAAGCCAGCCTGATCTACAAAGCGAGTTCCAGAACAGCCAAGGCTACAGAGATCCTGTCACAAAAAAACAAAACAACAAAAAGTTTTTAAGAAATTTGGTATGTGGCTCACACCAGTAATCTGAGCACTACAGAGACTAAGCCAGGAGGACTGAGTTCAAGGCCAACCTGGGCTAATTACAGACAGTAAATATGATTACATGTAACCTCTCCATGTCATCCTATTGAGACTAGGAGGAAGAGACACTGCTTGGTAGGACCCTCTGTGCCCAGCATTATTCTGATGCCCCTAACTCTAGGCAGATACCATGTCTCTGTGGTGTGTCCCTTTCCTTGATTTCCCGGTTTCTGTCTTGGGGAGTGTGTTGCTCCTTCCTGCTTCCCCACTGCAGGCCTCAAGGAGGTTCTCTTTGTCTCCTGGAACTTCAAGGCCCAACTACTATGTTTCTTTCCCCTTCTTCTCCCTCCTCCCTCCATGCAGTCATCAGCCACCTCACACTTCCATGTAGCCTATCAGAGAAGGGCCACGGACTGACGTGCATTCACCCTCCAGCCCTGATCACAACCTTGTTACACACTGTCACCTGTCCCAAAGCAGTATGGACAGTGGTTAGGAGCCCATGTGACAAGCTGAGGTGGCCTAAGCTCCAGTTTCAGCTCTGATCCTTGCTAGCTAGATCTAGAGCAAGGTGCTTCAATTTCTTCACCTTAAAATGGGCTGATGGTAGCCAGGTGTGGTGGTAGCCATTTGCAATTCTGTTATTCATGATAGGGTTAAGTAACCCACTCTATGCTGCTTGTTCATTCACCAAAATGCTTTCTTGACAGAAGTGCCACCTTTTCCCATACCATGCGCCTAAGTGTGTAGTCTTCAGGATCCCACACACACATAGCTGAAGAACAAGTCCACATCTTTGGGGAAAGGTGTTCACTCTTTCTCTGGAAAGATAGATCTCTAGGCCTGGAATGTGTCAGCATATCTGAAGTAGAGAGAGGTACCTGGCCTGGAGTTCCAGAGAACGCTGCTTTCCTGACACCAGGAAGGTCCGAGGCATGTTGAGGTTGGAGCTCTCCTTTAGCTGAATGGAAGAGGGAAGGGTCACGGTGAAGCCTACAGAGCTCCACAGGGCCCTGCACATATGCATATGCACGCACAGACTGGGGTCAAAGTAGACATGTTCTTCCCAATGCCAACGCCCCACCCACATTTCCACTTCTCATTTCATGGTACTCACCTCCATGCCATCTACATCAATGCGTGCCCGCACGCTAAACTTCTGGCCAAGGAGCCGCAGCCTGGGCACGCAGTAGAGGAGGCGGTCGTTGAACTAGGAAGGAAAGGATTTAGGATGCATGTGCAGGGGCTTAGTGTGGATGGTGAGTCCCCCCCACCTTTGTACAACTGCTAAGATCTGAGGCAATAAATGGAGGAAAGATTTCAAATTGGATACAGCAATAATGAGGAAAGAGAAAGGATGTTACAAAGAAATGTCATGGGAGTCACTTCCTAGTGGACTTGGAACCTTGGCCAAGTCACATCTAAATTGCAGTTACATAATCCAAAAAGCAAAAAAATTCTAGCTCCCATAGGGAAAATACAATGGAAGAAAGGACAGCTGGCTAGAGGTCTATTCTTGAATGGCTGACTACCAGGTCATCTGTGTATTAAGGGAGGACATGCCCACCCACAAGCCCACACCTGGCACTTACTAATATGAGGTATCGATCTTGAGTGGTCCCATTCTTTGCTGACAGCTTAAGGATATGGCCTTCTTTTATGAGCTCTTTGGTGGGACTGACAATGTCCTCCTCACCCCCTAGCAGCTCATAGACCTTCAGCAGCTTGTGCATTCGTTCCTGGCAGTGAGCAAAAGGTAAAGCTTGGGGTGAGCAACACCTCCCCTTGGATGTCATTAAGTCACAAGCTCCCACCCTCCCCATCCCAGGGCAGAGTACCACAGAGGATGGCCAAGGAAGGGCTGGGCTAGAAGGGCCACTTACCATTTTTCGGATGGCAGCATTAGAGTGCTCTGCTGCTGTGGCTATCAGCTCCAAAGACTCTATGGCACAGAGAAGTGTGATCAGATGGGAGTTGGGCAGAGAGCAAGCTCTGGAGGACTTCTCTCCTCCATGAAGATCTCGCCCCTTCCCAGCAAATGCCAGTCTCAAAAGACGTTCACGGTCAAATCATTTCAACTCAGAAACTGTCCAGACTAACATCACAGTAGCAGAAATATGGGATAGTTGGCAGCCAATAAGACATAAGCTTGGGGGTTGGGGATTTAGCTCAGTGGTAGAGCGCTTGCCTAGCAAGCGCAAGGCCCTGGGTTCGGTCCTCAGCTCCGGAAAAAAAAGAAAGAAAGAAAGAAAGAAAGAGAGAGAGAGAGAGAGAGAGAGAGAGAGAGAGAAAGAAAGAAAAAAGAAAGAAAGAAAAGAAAGAAAGAAAGAAGAAAGAAAGAAACAAAGAAAGAAAAAGAGAAAAAAAAGCTGAAAAAGACGTAAGCTTGGTAAAATGATTATGACCCTTAACTGGCAGGAAACCTGGTTGTGTTTGGACAGTTGTTTCTGGCTATTGGAACTATGGATAGTTCTTGTTTGTTTTGTTTGCTTGGTGTTTTTGGTTTTGATTTTGTTTTCAGACAGAATCTTGCCATATTCCCCTGGGTGATCTCAAACCAAACCAAAACAACCACAGTAACAAAAGATTAAAAATCAAGAGCGCTGGGGATGCAGCTCAGTTGGTGGACTGTCTGCCTAGCATGTGCAGGCCCTGGGGTCCATCCCTAGCATCACCTAAACAGAGTGTGATAGTGAATGCCTATAATCCTAGCACTCGGGAGGGAGAGGTAGTAGGATCAGAAATTCAAGGTCATCCTTAGGTACAAAGCAACTCTAAGGTAAGCCTATGATACATAAGACCTGAGTGAGTGCGTGCGTGCATGTGTGCGTACACACACACACACACACACACACACACACACACACACACACACACACACACGAAGACAATGATAATGATAAAGATAAGAAGGCAGCAGCAGCAGCAGCAGCAGAAAAACAAAGAAGTTAGGAATGTGGCTTGATGTAGAGCACGTGCCCTTGTATGTTAGAGGCCCTACGTTCAATTCTAGTGCACCAGTACGGGAAGAAGGAAGAGATTCTATTGTTTGTCTTCCTGATTCTGATTACAGGCACATGTTCTATGCACAAATACACTTTCACTGCAGTGGTGTTTTAACAATACCTAAATGTCCAACCATAGGCACTCAGTTACATAATTTACAACACATTCACATAATGGAATATCAGTCTTTCCCAGTAATACTTATGTAGGGTTTTTACTAATACGTGAAATGCTTAAAACATTCTTAAAATCTTTTAAGAAAAGGATACAAACTTGAATATTACAAAATGCTCTAATTCTTGAAAATACCTACATCTAAAAAGAATGTATGCCTAAACATTCATCACGGGGCTCAGGTCATGGGTGGCTTCTTGGCCCCTTATTTCTGTCTTCTTTTCTGTAATTTCCATATTTCCTACCATGACCAGGTGTTAGGAAAAAACTGAAATGAATCTCCATAAGCCTCCACATAGTAAACAAACCCTGCCTCTGCCTACAGTCTGGCTGCAGCTTCATGGCCCTCACTCTACACAGTGGATTCCCTACTCAGAATGTAAGCCTGGACTGGCGAAGCACATGTCCACATGGATGGCAAGCCAAAACCTGTTCCTAAGATGAGCGCATTCTGGTACTCAAGCAGATCTGTGGCCACTGCTCCAGCTCAGGTCTCCATATGCCTTTCAGGTGCTGGGCCTTTCTCCAACTCTTCCTTAACTCTGGCGGCCAGAAGGAGCTTTCTTGCACACAGTTTACTGTTTCCCCTCTGCTGAAATCTGCCAATATTTCACTCTGTGCCAGCACAGCAAAGACCCGGCCCTTTTGTCTAGCATTCAAAGCCCTTGGTTACTGGCTTCAATTGACCGCCGAGGCTTCCTCCACATGCACCTCCCTAAACATGTCCTGTCTTGCTTCATCTGGCCAACTGCCAGTCTTCTGGATTCAGCTCACTGTGTCTAGCAGCCTCCTCTAAGTTCCAAGGATGAGTTAGGGCACTGTCCTTGCCCCTCTGTCTCACTAGTCATACTGTGCTCATCACTCACTGTATCTGAATCCCCTGGTACACAAGAAGCTTCCTAGGACAGGGCCGAGTTCCCACTGCCTTCCTTCCTTCCTCAGGGATCCCAAACAGATGCTTAGTATACCTTAGCTCCTCCAATAGAAAGAACCTCAGAAGACAGGTGGTACTATGCCGCATTTAGGTGAGGACAAAACCGAGACTCAGAGAGGTGGTTATCTAACTGGAGGTGCCATGAGAGTTGCTTTTTCTCCTACATATGCTGCATCTTTCGTACCCCAGTAGAAGCCAAAGGGACAATAAGACTGGCAAGTTAGGGGCACGTAAACCTAGGCCTGATACGTGGCTGGGCTCAGACTGGAGGCTGTGTTTGCTATCAGGACCTGTCTAGTGAAGTACCATGCAGGAAACAGATCAACCTAACCAGGAATCCCATGTGTACAGTCCCTGTTGTACATGTGTACAGTTGGTTGTATGGATGTTAGTCCGAAGTTAGAAGCTTTAGTGGGACCTAGGCTGGGCTTGGAAGCCTGGGGTCTCCATCTAGAAGTTCAGTCTTGGGCTTAGTGTAAGTAGGTAGCTGAGGGCAGCAGTCCCAAGCAGGCAGTTTGGGAACTGAGTCCGGGTTCTCGAGTTTAGTCTGGGACATAAAAGTAGGGGAGTCAATCAGCAGAACCAGAAAGACGATTCAGTGGGGCTCAGCTTATGGATTTTACTTTGAAACATAAAATATAGGGAGCACAGTGGACAAATCTTAGCTGGCTCTCAGTCAGAGGTCCTAACTTAAAACAACTCCAAAAACCATCATACGAAGCTTGTGTGTGTGTGTGTGTGTGTGTGTGTGTGTGTGTGTGTGTGTGTGTGTGTGTGTGTGTGTGTTGGGGGAGGGCTCACATTTGCAGTCAATATAGGGAACACTGAAATTTGTTCTAGAGACTCAGATAAGGTTGAGGCTATACAGAACAGGAAACTGAAGTCAATAAACTCAACCTAGTGGCTAATGCAGTATGGATGACATTAGCCATCAAAATAGCTAATGAAGGGATTGGGGATTTAGCTCAGTGGTAGAGCACTTGCCTAGCAAGTGCAAGGCCCTGGGTTCGGGCCTCTGCTCCAGAAAAAAAAAATTAGCTAATGTTTATTGAGTCTTTGCCATGTGCCAGGTACTGTGCCCAAAAGTTTAACTGAATTTAGCACTTCAAATCAATTCTATGAGGTAGGCAACAATATTGTGAGAAAAATGAAGCTGAGGTTTGCTGGAAAACACATGGTTTTATGTTGTATTGTTTGGTTTGATTTGGGGGTTTAGGTGTTTGTGTTTTTGTTTTCAAGACAAGGTTTCTCAGTGTAGTCCTGGCTGTCCTGGAATTCACTCTGTAGCCCAGGCTGGCCTTGTACCCACCTACCTCGGCCTCCAAGTGCTGGGACTAAAAGTGTGTGCCACCCCATGCAGCTGGGTTTAGGGTTTTTTTTTTTTTTATTGGAAGTACTGGAGATTGAACCTGGGGCCTCACACATGCTAGGCTAGTGCTCCACGGCTAAGTACATGCCTGCCCCTACTTTTTTCCTTACTAAGTTTAAGCTCTCCAGGCTGGCTTTGGATTTACCTTGTAGCCCAGGTAGTCAATCCTCCTGCCTTGGCCTCCAGAGTAGCTAAGATTACAAACATGTGCCACCACAGTACCTGGCCTAGAAGGTACTTTTGGTTTGTTTGTTTTGTTTTGTTTTTGTTCTTTTGTTTTTTGAGACAGGGTTTCCCTGTGTAACAGCTCTGGCTGTCCTGGAACTCATTTTGTAGACCAAGCTGGTCTTGAACTCACAACACCTGCCTCCTGAGTGCTGGAATTAAAGGCGTGCGCCATCACTGCCCAGCTGGAAAACACTTTCTTGAGGATTAGGATTTTTTTAAATAATTTATTTATTTTTATTTTATGTGCACTGGTGTTTTGTCTGCATGTATGTCTGAGTGAGGGTGTCAGATCTTGGAGTTACAGACTGTTATGAGCTGCCATGTAGGTGCTGGGAATTGAACCCCGGCCCTCTGGAAGAGCAGTCGGTGCTCTTAACCACTAAGCCATCTTCCCAGCCCTGAAGTTTAGGATTTGTGGCTTCCTATGGCACCTCAGTGGTACTCTTATTTGGGAGAGGAATATAGTACTTAGTATGCAGCTGTCTGTTTGCAGAGCTTAGTTACCAAACTTTCTAGAGGTCCAGCTCTATTCAGAGGTCCAGGCTGGCTAGCAAAGTGCCCTCAGTAAAGGGTTCGGGAAGTGTGCATAGCACAGGACCCAACTCTTTGCTCCCCATCCCTGTGACGTGCACACTTTCTGTTTTCCTGCTCCCTTCCGGCTGCTTCTTCATCTCCTTTGCTGATCCCACCTTCCTGAGCTTTGAAGCTTGGCCTCCTGTTTCCCCTTCAATTTATTATATTTCACTCCCTTTGGCAAGTCCCACTTGTACCATGGCTTTGCATACTAACTGTGGACTACTGACATTCAGATCCCTCCCTGGAATTCTAGACTCATCTGTCTAACCCGACATCTCACTGAACAGCCTCTCTCAAGAACTATCATTCACACAGCTCTGGTGATGCAGCCTAAGTTGGCCTCAAACTCACGAGCCTCCTGCCTCTGCCTCCCAGCTGCATCACCACACCCAGCAAGAACCATCATGCTTTTTTTTAATGATTTATTTTTTCATTGTGTGTGCATGTGTGCACAGAAGTGCCCATGGAGTCCAGAAGAGGGCATCTGATTCCACTGGCGCCAGAGTTACCAGTGCTTGTCAGCTGCTTGGGTGTGGGTGCTGGAAACTAAACTTGGGTATATAAGGCGGTATATGCTCTTAACCACAGAGCTCTCTCTCTATCCATGGTATCCTAGACTTTTCAGCCACTTCCAAATAGAATGTACACTGAATGGAACCACTTCTCATCACTTCTGCTGCTACTATCTTCATCCAAACCAGCTGCTGTCACTCAAGAGTATTGCAAAGCCCTTTTTATCGATTTCCTGGCTCCTTCGTCTACTCTTCAGTTAATCCTAACCATGACCTTCCCATGACTATCCGCTGCACTCAGAATAAATCAGTCCCCTCATCTCAGCCTCCAAAGCTTTGCTCCACCAACCTCTCTTCTATCATTCCGCCCTCCCTTGTCATGCTCAGGTCACGCTGGCCTTCTTGTTGTCATGGAGAGACATCTACCTCTACCAGCTTGCCCATCTCCCCCTGCTTTGGGAACCACTGGGAACTCTACTTTTGCTACTACAGCTGCCTGGAACATTCCCCTCCCTTTGGCCCGTGGCATCTTTCTCGTTATTCAGGTTTTGGTCCAGCCATCTTCCCTGCATAGAAGCGACCCATTTAAACTAGACTGCCTAGTTGCTGTTACATCACTCTCTTCTCCTTCTCCAAGTCACGCTTAGCACCGGGCAGATATTTTCCTGTGTACCTGTCACATTGGTTTATTGGGTCTCCCTGAGTCAAGGACCTCGTTTATTTGGCTCAGCTCCCTGTGCCTAGAACAGTGCACAAACACTTAGCTTCTTTGTTCATGATGAAGAGATGGAAGTATGGGCTTAAGGAAGAGCAAATGGGCTGGACCCCAGAGTTCTAACTGGGCTCTGGCCCTGTACATGGGGTGAATATGGAAGGAATCTAAACCGAACGCTTTTCTAGTGGTTCAGTGAATGGAGACCTAGAGATCCAAACCTGAGAGGCACAAAACATGGGGACACGAAGTCTGGAACAATCAGTACTAGAAAGGCAATTATCGGGCTTCGGGTCAGGCTTGGAATTCTTTAGGGAGGCTTATTCTTGGGAATGGTCAGTGGGCCTCGAGTGGAGCTCTAACTCTGGAGGATGGAAAATCAGAAGTCTGACTCTATGGAGAATTAGTGACACTGGCTTGGCCCTGGAGAGTTAAGCTCTCTTTCATTTTGCACTCCAATACAACCTCATCCAGAGATGACTATTCCAGTTCAGCCTAAGAAATGCATGGCCCTTAGACTGTATAGTTCCAGCCAGACGTTCCTAACTGGGTTCTTTCTAGGAAATAAGGTAGAGTAATGAACTTGGAGGTTCATCCTGAAATCTCACCACAGAGCCTCAATGTAGTAGGCCCTTCAGTTTAGAGATTCTATTCTGGGATTTTAATTACAAAATGTTGGAAGGCCGAGCCTGTGAATGAAATGTGGAGTCCTGCCTCAGATGGCTGGCCTAGAGCTACCAGTATGGGGAAAGCAGGGAAGGCCTAGGGGCACACACTCACTCTGGGCATCCTTGCTGTCCGGGGAGCCATGAGGCAGCTTTAACAGATAGTCCTTGAGAAGAAGCTCATAGCGGGGGATCCGCTGCACGGGCTCCAGCATGTGGTGCTGCAAGGTCAGGTTGCCACAGGCCTCCTCCTTCTACAACAGAAACAGGAAAGCTCAGGCCCGCTAAAAGACCTCCCCCAGGTCCCTCCTGTAGCGTGTTTCGTCGAGTTTCAGCTCTCACCTGCACTTCATGGATGATGACTTTAAACTGCGTAGAGCGCTCTGTCCACGTGTTGACCAGCTCTACAGCCCGGTCGAAGTTTTTCACATACTCGCCGTACATCTTGAGGAAGGGTGCCAACTTCTGAAGGATGTCACCAATGCGTGGATAGCGGTCCCTAGAGTAGAAGCAGGGGCTGACATGGGCCTGCTGATCCTCCCACAAGTCTCCAGCCTCAGGAAGAAAGCCATTTTTCAACTGGCTTACTTCTTTGGAAATGCTGCTTATATGGCAGGCCAAGGAAGCTGAGAGACTCAGCTTGATTCTTGGCTGCAGCCTGGGCAACACCCGGCCCAACTGTCCTGCTTAAGCACCAGAAACTATACCACCCTGGAACGCCCACTCCTGCCATACTGTAAGGGCCACTCATACACTGATCATTGATTCGTGCCCAGTCTTGAGCTGCGTAGTGCCAGGGACACGGTGCTGAGCCATACCCAGCCAAGCCCTGAGAACTTCACTGCCTTGTAGGGTAGGAAAAGTAACCAGGTTTTGCTGAACTCTTGTTGGCCACAGTGTGATGTGAGAGACCAGGCGGATTTCAGGTCATAGGACGGGAAGGGAGATATGGGAACTAGACTTGATGCTATCCCTCTGCTGCCACAGCTTTGTAAGACAGGCACACTTTATCCTGTGAGTGCAGGGAACATGGAGACAATTTTAAGCAGGTAGTTTGGTTGTTGTTTGGGAAGACCATTCAAGCAGGCGGTGTAGACACTATCATCTAGATTGGAAGAAGAGAAGCTGAAGGCCAGTCAGTCCCTAAACCTGCCCTTCTCTTGGGCATTCGCTTCTCCTTGAATCACTCCTAGGCTAGGCTTGGGCCATTTGTCTGCATCCTCAGTCTCCCATTCTCACCTCTACCATGGCACTGCTAAGAACACCAGCTCAGGCCAGACATGGTAGTGCACACCTTTGATACTAGCACTTGGGAGACAAAGGCAGGGGGATCTTTGTGAGATCGAGGCCAGCCTGATCTGCATAGTGAGACCCTGTCTCAAAACAGAGCAAAAGAACAGCAGCTCATAATCTTCAAACACTTACATGCCGGAAATTTTTGTAATCTCTGAACATGTAGTAACACATTTAATTCTTAAAATAAACCTACAAGGTAGGCCATTATTATCATCCCTATTTTAAAGACAAGGAAGGCTCACTTGCCTAGCACGTGCAAGGCAGTGGTGGCGCACGCCTTTAATGCCAGCACTGGGGAGGCAGAGGCAGGTGGATCTCTGTGAGTTCAAGGCCAGCCTAGTCTACAATGTGAGTTCCAGGACAGGCTTCCAAAGCTACACAGAGAAATCCTGTCTCGATAAAAACAAAAAAATGAATAAAGATGAAGAAGCCAAGGCACAGCACCTTAAGAAACTTGCTTAAATTTAGCAAGCAGCAGAGGCAGAAGTTGAACCTAGCCATTTTAGCTCTTTTTATTTATTTGTTTTTTCAAGACAGGGTTTCTCTGTGTTGCCCTGGCTGTCCTGGAACTCACTATGCAGACCAGGCTGGCCTTGAACTCAGAGATCCATCTGCTTCTATCTCCCCAAGTGCTGGGACTTAAGGGCTTATGCCACCATGCATGGCTCACTTCAGCTCTTAAACTCACTCTTTTTGCTGTTTTTGTTGTTGTTGTTTTGTTTTTGAGACGGAGTCTCACTATGTAGCCTAGGCTGGCCTCAAATTCATTGATCTGCCACAGACTCTATACAGCTGGGATTATAGGCATACAATACTGTAACAGCTCAATCTCAACACTCTTTTTTTGTCTTAAATTTGATGATGATGAGTGGTTATGCGGTGTGTGTGTGTGTGTGTGTGTGTGTGTGTGTGTGTGTGTGTGTGTGACAGACAGAGAGCAGGGGAATGTGGGCACACTCAGCATGTGTGGGTGTCAAAAGACAACTTTCTGGAGCCATTTCTTTCCTTCCATCTTTCTGTGGGTTCCAGGGATTGGACTCAGCTTGCCAGCAGCAAGCACCTCTACCAATGGAGCCAGCTCACGAGGCTTCTCATACTCTAGAGGACTCTGGTACTCCGTCGGAGCATTCTAGGTCCTCGTCTATGTTCCACATTAGATTGTGAGGACCCAGAACGCAGATGTGGGGCCTTTTATTGCAGAAAACAAGGCAGGTAAGGATGAACTTATTTTCAACAGGTGGTGGAGGCACATGCCTTTAATCCCAGCACTTGGGAGGAAGAGATAGACGGATCTCTGAGTTCTAGGCCAGCCTGGTCTACAGAGTGAGTTCCAGGACAGCCAGGACTACACAGAGAAACCCTGTAGAGAAACACACCCCCATACCACAAAAAAAAAGATGAACTTATTTTCATGATGCCAGGGATGGACTCCAGGGCCTTTCATATTCTATGCAAGATTTTTGCTACTGAGCTCCATCCCCAGCCCAGGAATGAGATCCCATGTATACATCTGGGTTTAGCATACAAGTTGATGCCAGAATAAGCAGCCTGAGTCTGGCTCTGGAGCCCCTCACCATTCCTCCATGCGCTTCTCTAGCTCAGGCAGCAGGAACTGCTGGTGGAAGCAGTAGATGGAGCAGATGTTCGAGAAGATGCCGTGGACAACATCAGCAGGGAAGGAACTGCGGTTCCGAGCTTCTTCCAGCAGCCGGGCACAGAATACCTGTGGAGCAAGGCGGGCGTGCTGAGCCCAGCTGAGACCAGAGCTGAGCTGGGGAAAGGGCAGCTTGCAGGTAAGGGCAGTATTTGTGGGCAGCTCTGCGCATTTTGGAGATCAGTACTGCTCTTGAGACTGGGGAGAGTGGGAACGGAGAGAACTGCAGCTCACCAAGATTAGGACCTGGAGTTAGCAACTGAAACAATGCCAAGTTAGGACCTGGAGCAAGATCAGAGGCCGATCCGGGTTCAGAGAGAAAGCTGCGATTAGAGCCCTTTATTTTAACAAATCTTTAAGAGTGTCTACTGTGTAAAGTACTGTCCTGAAGGCTAGGATGGAACAGAGAAAACAAAAGATCCCTACCCTCAGCGAGTCTAGTGGATACAGGGTCAAGAAGAGAGTCAAGAGTCAGAATGAGGTCCATGAGGAGGGGTAAATTCAATATGTGGGGAAGAGTGAGCAGTGTCAGGGTCACAATCATAGGGCTGGTACACATCTGTTAAGAGTTAGGAGCGAGGATTAAACTTGTAAACATAATCAGAATTGGCTTCAAGGTCAGCCAGAGACCTTACCACTTCTGGATTCTGCTCCTAATGGTAGAGTTAGGCTCAGGCCCTATCATTTCCTCTGTGGAACCTACCTACCACATCCTAGGGCCCTGGGACCCCAGAGGGGCCATTTACCTGATCCAGGAGATGGAGCCTGGAAACATAGGCCTTCTCGGTTTGTAGGAGCTCATTGGCAATATGGAACACCTTCTGTTGCACAGTCAGCTGGAAAGGAGAAGCGACCCTTGAAACATCATCTCCACTCTAACCCTGGCTCCTTCTATCCATTTTTCTCCCCCCCTCCCTTTATCTCCCCATTCACTTATCAGGTATTGTTGTGTATCTCAGGGTACCCTCAAACTCTTGGACTGAAGTGATCCTCCTACATCAGTCTCCCCAGTAGCTGGATTACAGGCAATGTCATCATGCCTGGCTCCCCAGAGAGGGCACATGATGCTCTGACCTTAGTGCCGCCCTGAGATAACCCCAATCTGATTCATTAAGCTAACTGGAGCTTCATCCTTGGCTCCTAGTCAGTCATAAAGCTTGCCCCTCAATTCTGAAGACATGAACTCCCTCATGCAGACACTCATATACCCACTGCTCTGCTTTCTCTACTCATTGAGCATAGTCTGGTGGTTAAACGTGAGAACTAGGAAGTCCAACTTCCCGGGTTCAAATCCCAGTCTACCATTCACTTGCACGCATGAGTTGTCTAATTATTTCTGTATTTAAGAGTCCCATTATAAAGACAGATAATAATAGAGCCTATGTCCATTTGTAATGGAGACAATTTCATTTATTTTAATTTAATTATTGCACTGTTGGGGATTAAACTTGGGGCCTAATGCATGCTAGGCAAATGCTCTACACTAAGTCGCACTCCCAATCCTAAAAGATTTCCTATAAATAAAAACAGAACAGACTGCAGATTACAGTCTCTAAATATCAGCTATTTCTTCCCTCATTGAGTTCACTGTCAGCAAAGGCTTGCTGAGTATGTGGGGTGTGAGAAAGGCACAGAAATATAAAAATGGCTAAGATTATGCCCGTCGGCTCACTTTGTTTGCGGCTCCACACTTGCTGAGTGTCGTTCCATCTCAGCACTCCCCGGCCCCACACGAGCTTGGTTCTGGCCAAGCAGGTAGGTATCCTGGCTGAGACCTTACTTGAGTGCAAGGATACCTTGTGAAGAAACATTAGGTAGACAGGGCATGGGAAGAGTTCCTAACCACCGAGGGCTCTAGGCTCTCTGCCCCTCCTCCAGTTGCTGAGAAGTCTCTCCAGCATGAGAGAGTTTCGGTCATACAAGCGAGGAAACTAAGGCTCGTAGTGAGGAGTGGAAAGAGACATCCCCAGTGTCACACAGCTATGGGGTCACAAAAGCCCTGAGGTCCATAGTGATTCTCTGATGAAAGTGAAAGCCCCTTCCTAACAGGCATTTAGAACGAGGCATGGCCACTTGGGTGGGCACAGTCATCTGGGAGAGGAGCAGGGTTTTTCTATTGCTCTTCCATACTGGGAAACCAGGGGTGCTAGGTAGACTAAATGGAAGCAATGCCCTGTTTTGAGAAATACCAGGCTGGGGGAAGAACCAAGCCCATGCCAGGCTCTTTCTTGCTTTCTCTACATGGTCCTCCCTCTTGGGTAACATAGGTCAGTACCTCCACAGACTCCTGTCTCTCCAGTGGGGGCACTGGAATTTCTCTTTCCTTCTCTTCCTCCTCTTCCTCCTCCTCGTCTTCCTCTTCCAGGTCACTGTCAACCTCCTGGGAGCCAGGCCGGTGGGGGTCGGCCAAAGCAACTGGCATACTCGCCAGGGCAGGAGGCCCAGGACAGAGGCTGTGGCTGGGGGGCCCGTCATCACTGACGAAGCAGGTCTCTTCGCTGTTGGATGGCGAGCTGATGCTGTCAATGCCGCTGTCCCGGTTAGGTACCTTCTCACCATCCCGGGGCCCAGGAGCCAGCAGGAACAGGCAGCGTGAAGCCTCACCCTCAGGGAGCTGGGACACTGTTGGCTGCGGGGGTGGCTGTGGCAACATGGCTGGCTCTGGGGGAACTGGGCAGGGGCCAGGGGCTGGCCTATCCGAGGCGACAATCACAGGCTCTCTGAGGTGGGTGATGGACACACATGGAGGCAGGGTATGAGCTTGACCAAGAGGCCTCTCCTACAACTCTCCCTTCCTGCCCCAGACACCCCCCTTCCCTCCCAGGGTCCTCTAGGGATCAGACGCACCTTTCAAACTTCTCAATCAAGGACGACACTGCTGCGGAACTGGGGCTGGCCTCAGCTCGGGGGGCAAGACCCTTGGCCACTCTAGGGTCTGCAGGCAGAGGGCGCGATGGTGGCGGAGGAATGGGCTCAGGTGGAGGAAGCATCCGGGACATCTGCAAGTAGCTGGGCTTTGGGGGAACTGCAATGGTGGATGGGGAAGAAAGGGAGCTATCACTGAACTGGTTGTAGAGGTGGTTATCATAGCCAGGCTATGCCTAATTTCACAGACCCCAGAATTCTCTCTTTTGTGCTAGAGATCAAACCCATGACCTGGTGCATGTCGGGTAAACACTTTTCCATCGAGCTACATCCCTCTTTTGAGATAGTCTTGTTATACAGCCCAGCTTGCCTGTACTAATGGCGCTAATAACATAGCCCTGACTGACCTTAAACTCCCAACAACGATCCTGTCTCAACCTCCTGAGTGCTGGGAGTAGTGGCAGGTGCTGCCACCACCGCTGTTTTTTTTTTTTTTTTTTTCAGCCTGAGGTAGGCACAGAGCAGGACTGAGGTGAAATCCCAGGAGGATATGTAAGCCACAGGCAACACCTTTCGGGCCATCAGATAGGTATCACTCACTGCCCCTTGAGATAAGGGCGCTTCCCTATTCTTCTGCCACCGTTAATTTCTCCTTTCCTTTTGTACACCTCTCTGGTCCATTTCTCTGCTCTTCATGGAAGCACTTACCCTGCGGCTTTGGGCCTGGTGCCCGCTTCAGTGGTGAAGGACGTGGGCCGGGGGTTTCAGTGGGAGGGCCTGGATCTGAACGGAGTCGTTGGGGGCCTTCTGGATGAGGCTCAAGACTCTGGCCAGGATCAAGGGACAAACTTTTAACCAGGATCCGGTTTCCCTGGTGCAGTCCTGTAGAAAGAGAGAAACTTGTCATGATGTGACTGATTTTACCCTAAGGGAAAATAGGAAGTAGCATATCTTAGCAGGTATCTAGGGCTAGGCTCCTCTGAGCCCTTCACTGGCCACAGTTTTGCAAGGAAGCCCTTCTACCAGGCCTTAGACAGAGAACCAGGCCCAAGGTGGAGACTGGCTATTTTCACCAAGAAATAATTGTTCTCTGTGATTAGCATATTGACTCCATGCATGTCCGTAGATAATTAAGGACTTAAATCAAACTCAGGAATTTAACTGGGTTAGGAGTAGAAGTAAATACCCGAAAGTTTGTGTGTGTGTGTGTCTATAGCTCTTGTTTATATAGCCAGTCTTCATTCTAGTAATTATTTTATTATTTTGTTTTGGTTTTTCAAGACAGGGTTTCTCTGTGTAGTTTTGGAGCCTATCCTGGAACTCACTCTGTAGCCCAGGCTGGCCTTGAACTCACAGAGATCCACCTGGCTCTGCCTCCCGAGTGCCGGGATTAAAGGCGTGCGCCACCACTGCCTGGCTATTTTGTTTGTTTTTGAGACAGGGTCTCACTGTGTAGCCCAGGCTGGACTCAAACTCATGACAATCTTGCTTTAGCTTCCCAAGTGCCAGAATCATAGGCATAAACTACCATTCTTGTCTTCTTCATCCCATTTCTTAAAGCCCTGAGAATATCTGAACTTACTTGTCTACAGTTTTGTAGAGCCAAGTGTCTTTAAAATGATGAAATTGGGAACTAGGGCGTTAGCTCAGTGATGGAACACTTGCTTAGCATTTATAAGGCCTGGGGTCCAATCCCATTGCATACACACACACACACACATACACACTGGTGAAACCATATTTCATAAGCAAACATTTGCTTCTTAAAATCTCAGGGTCTTATCAATTTTTTTTACCTTCCTCTACTTCCACATCCACCTCACGTCCCCTCACACCCCCCACCAGTATCCAGAATGCAGGTACAAGAACGGCTTTAAAGCAGCAAGTAGTAAATTCTGAAAAGGAGGAATCCTTTTCTTACTTTCTCCTTCCTTAACATAAGGACCCCTAAACCCTAGTTTGGGGCCCTAGAGGATATGATGATCACACTTACAAGGAAAGATTTAGGCTTGGGGAACAATGATGGATCTCTCTCTCTCTCTCTCTCTCTCTCTCTCTCTCTCTCTCTCTCACACACACACACACACACACACACACACACACACACACACTCCACATGTCCCAAGTGAAAGAGTACAGGAGTTGTGTGGTTGTGGCTGGGTAGGAGGCTGTGGGGGTTGCCTCTGAGATAACAGAGAAGTCAGGTAGGGCTAGAGATGAATGGGAAAGTCTTGGATGCCAGAACCAAGAGCTGCTCATCTTTTCTGTAGTGAAGGGGGTCATGAAAAGCCCTGGGTAAGGAGGGATGCATGCAGTCAGGTGTGAGGCCAAGGGAGTGAGTACTAGTCAAGAGCTCCTGGAGCACCAGGCACAGCAGCACATGCCTATGAGCTCAGCACTTGGGAAGCTGAAGCAGAAGGATGGTGAGTTCAAGGCCAGCCTGGGCTACATACTGAAAACCCAACTGAAACCAAACAAACAAAAGGTCCCACAGCTATAACTAGCACACAGGGTGAGATACATTGTGCCATGATTTACAGTGTCACAGCCACATGGCATCTCATCTCAAGGATTTTACCCATGTCACAGTCCAGTCTCATAAGGGGGTCCGCTAAGTCACAAAAGCACATGGACTTTACAGTGCTTTATATAACTGCCAGGTCACACAAATTCAAACATCCAAACACATATCCTCACTGGGCATACATACACAATTTCATAGACTAGCAGCTACAATTCCATATATGATCACATAGCCTTAGGGAATCATCAATAATAAAGTCAAGCACGGTCACAAAGACATATAATGAAGACACAATGGCAGTCCTATGGTCTGACACCAAATCACTTAACCACATGCGGTCATATAACTTTATATAGCACTATATATTACTCAAGCACAGTTTCACCAAGTTATAAAGGTACATTACATTACAGGATCATGGAGTTTCAAATATATCATTAACATGTCTTTGAATACCTACAAACATAGTTACAAATAAATATAACCACACAGAATCCATTATACCAGGTCAGAAAAAAGCTACACACAACATCAAAACAGAATAATGTCATAAGCTACTACATACCCAGAAACATGGACACAAATCAGATACATTTAATAATTTACTAGGTCACATTTTTTTTTTTTTGGTTTTTTGTTTTTTCCGAGACAGGGTTTCTCTGTGTAGCTTTGGAGCCTGTCCTGGAACTCACTTTGTAGACCAGGCTGGCCTCAAACTCACAGAGATCCACCTGCCTCTGCCTCCCGAGTGCTGGGATTAAAGGCATGCACCACCACCGCCCGGCATAGGTCACATTCCTGCAACAAACATGTCCATGGTATCTGAGGGTCTTAGCTCAGGGATATACACAAATATAGTCACAAAACACAGGACACTTGTCTCTTCCTGCTCTAAACCAAGTGTCACATGCTGTCTTCACCCACTGAGACATCCATACCCTCCCTTACAAGGTCACACATGCAGACAGAGTCACAGGGGATTTTAGGGCTCTTAGTGGTTGGAGGGAACCGAGGGGTTCCACAGCAGCTTCCCTGAGCTCCTGACCTTATCCCAGCTACAGACTGGCCAGGTAGTCATGGAACCTTCCCAGCCTGAGGGAACACGTGCTCTAGATCCTGGTCCCAGTGGGGTTTTTTTTCTACCTTGTCCCTGGCTTTGGGTGAAGTTTCCTCCTGTGCCTTCCCACCTGAGCAGGCAGGGCCCAGGCTGTGCCTTTAGAAAGGGTGTTCTTCTCCTCACCTCTGGCCCAGTAGAGCAGCTGATCCTGCCCAGCTCAGCACATCTTGCTTGGCCCTGCCCTGTCCTCTCCCTGGGCACAGGGTTGAGGAAGATGAATCACCTGGAGGGTGGCACAAGTGTAGACACAGTTGCCAAGACACATGGCCAGAGAAAGTGATGATGATGGCCAGAAAGCTACTGAACAAAGCCAAACACACTGCCGTGTTGTGGGATATATGCTCACACTGTGTGAAAGGCGCCTTCTGATTGGTTTAATAAAGAGCTGAATGGCCAATAGCTAGGCAGGAGAAAATAGGCGGGACTTCTGGGGAGAGAGAGGAAGGGGAGATGATCTATGCACACAGGAGACACCAGCCAAACTCTGAAGAAGTCAGACATGCCATCTTGAGGAAAGGTAAAGAGGCACATGGCAGAATGTAGATTTAAAACAGGAGTTAATTAAGTTCTAAGAGCTAGTTGGAAAGAGCCTAAGCTAAAGGCCAAGCTTTCATAATTAATAAGAAGTCTCCGTGTTGTTATTTGTGAGCTGACAGCCCAAAGAAAAGTCCGACACCACTGCCACGAAGAACTCCACAGATAGACACAGGTGCCAGGGTCCCAAGGGCTCTCCATCTGCTCCCCGGATCTTAACACCTCAAAGCAGGTGAGCTGCCCTGGGCAAGCCCTCCCTGCCAGGCCAGCAGGTGGGCAGCAGGGCTCTTGTGGGACTTCTGCCCTTATGTCCCCTGCTGCTTCTCAGAGTGGGGTGGCCTATCACTCTCCATGGCTCTGCCCTGGCCCTCTCCTCTCATTACCCACCTGACCCTCACATGGGAGCTACACAGGCTGCCTCTCCATTCCGCGCCTCCTTGTAAGCAGTCCTATAGAGTAGACAGCTGGATGAAATTCAGACTCAGGGATACCCTGGAGTCCCAGATGAGGGAGGCAGAGATTTTATGTCCAATTTCTTATGCAGAGATGAAGACAAAGAAAGACATGGTGGCTGGCCCAAGGCCACACAACAAGGTACTAGCTGACTTTCAGGAAGACTGCTTCTGGTCTGGGTTCTTTTCCTAACCGTGCTCTCCAAAGCCACAAGGGACATGAGAGGACCCTGGTATTATAGAAAAGCAGTGTGGTTACTGAAAGGGATACCCCTCACCCTGTCCACAGGACAGCAGGGTTTCAGTTCCGGAGTCTGGGTATGGCCAAGGTGAGATCCTACTGAAGGCAAAAAGATTCAAGATCCCTGTCTCCTCCTTCTGTAGACTCCTTCTTCTCAGTTTCTCCTCGTTTCCCTCAGTGGCCTTTGTCCCAGACGGGCTCTTTCTTGGTGGCATCTTCTTCACAGCCTACTGGCACAATTTTCCACGACTCCCTTCTACCCATCTTCACTAGATCTCCGTGGCCGTTATGGCCCTGTTGAACTCTCTGGCTTCCCTCAGGTTGGTTAAATAAGCTAACTGTATTTCACGGCTGCTAGACTCCGTGCGGAGACTGAGACAATCTCATTCCTGCCCTCAGGGGAGCTGCTAGAGAAGGACCCACTTCCTCCTTTCTAAAAACCACAGTGCTTCCTACTTCCCCATCCATCCCACCCACCTAGATCCTAAATTGGTTTTCTCCAGACTACTTTTCTTACGGTTGATAATTGACAACATTTGCTAACACACATAGACCCACATCCACGCCCCCATGAAGGCTCTGAACATCCAGCGCTGTTCCTTCCACCTCTGCTTCTACCAGAGTAGAGTCCCCACCTTTTCTCACTCACATATAAAGTCATCATAAATCTTACGACACCCCCATCTACCGTCTGCCAACTATGTACAGCCATCTAAGACCCAGAGAGAACCACAGAGCCACCCCGTGTATCCTGCCGATGTGCAGTGTGCTCAGCACAACATGCACTGCACAGCCACTGCTGTACTCCCCTCTCTCTTAGCAATGACAGGAAGCATACACCCTGAGCATCCTAGGAGTTGCCCACATACTCCCAAGCTCAGCTGTGAAAGTGGGGTATACACTTACTTTACCTCTACAACCCCTAGGCCCTCAACTGGCTATAAGGGCAGTGTGTGTGTGTGTGTGTGTGTGTGTGTGTGTGTGTGTGTGTGTGTGTTGTAACCTAACACACAC